GTATTAGAAATTTGTATTCTTTTTGTCCAACAGAAGAATTTTTTATCATCATGTGGGCAGGTAAATTAAACTGCTGTGTGGGAAATCTGCTAGACAAAAGGATTGCACCAATTGTGTTGCATTAGAACATCTTTCTGGAGATTGAGAATGAGCTTTTTGAAAATAACTGTAAATTTCATATGTACAGTTTACATTCAAGATGTGAGTGGGGGCTTTGATCTAGCATCAATTACTAGACTGGTGTAGATTTTCCAGAGGCTGTCTCTACTGTATTTACTGGAAGTGTGTGTGCTCAGTTAAAGCTATGCTGTTTGATGTTTTACCTTTCCATTTGGGAAATGCTGTAATTTTTACCAGGTCACCTAAATTTTCTTGATATATTATATTTTAGATTTGTATATTCTACTTTCTTTATCTGTGTACTGTGGTCAGCAGATTTTGGTAATAGAGTTGAAATACTAAACATTTTGTAAATATTCATCTTGTTTGACAAACTTTTTAAATAAATTTAAAAAAAGCTTTAAAGACTGTAGTAGTAGTAGTAAGGTTATTTATTTTCCATACACTTTGTGTTAAAAATAAGGATTTACCATATCAAGTGCTTCTCAGGCAGATCTGAGAAGTGAGAATCTCACTGTGGCTTTGCAAGCTTCTGCCATCAGTGAAACTTGTTCTCTTCTAAACAATTTTTGGGGCATACAGCCAGAAAGACCTGCAGAAACAGCACATCTCCTGTCTGTTCTGCTTGCGTGTTCTGACTGAACAATACTAACACTGCAGGCATTTTCCTGAATTGTCTTACTTCATATTCTAGCTTGATGTGGACCCAGAGTATCCTTTTAAATATTTAAACTAGCACTTGTTTCCAGTCAGTGGGATTTCATAGCAGTAATGTATTGAGGAAGTTGGATAACACCGTAGAAGCAAATAGTGAGAGCTATTGGCATTCTGTAAAGCTTTCTGCGTTTTGAATTTTGGTTTGTATTTTTTTCCATTTCTCGTTTAGGTCTGTGAAATTAATTTATTTGTTTTCTTCTATTACCTGCATTATGGGTAGCTGATATGGAACTGCCACAGTAGTAGCAGACCTCCTCCACCTCGTGTCACTTTTACAGAGAATATTTATTTAGTAAGATATTGAACAGTTTGTAACTTCTCTGGTGAAGTCAGCAGAAATTGATGTTAGAAAAAGGCTGTATTCCCTCTTTAACCACCTGAGGGAGACTGCAGAAAATTTGATAATTGCTTGGTTGTGTGTATAATACTACATTGTGCACGTTCAAGTTGTCTCTCGATTTACTAACGCTTGTTATTCAAAATTTAAAAACATAGGAGCAGTATTGCACTGTTGCCCTTGATGTTTAAAATATGCTTTTTTTTCCCTTCATAATCAAGTTTACAGGAGGACTCACTAGATCTGTGGGATTTGCAAGATCTTCCAAATGCACCTAGGAGGTTTTTGGTAATAAATTCCTACTTGCTTTTCCCTCTTTTTAACTGACGTGACTGCGTAGAGGGAACTTGAAAGAAGGATTAATGAAACTGGAAAAAAATACTGCAGGTTATCATGGTAGGAACAAAGAATCTTTCACCTTCAAAATTTTCTTAGAGGTGATTTTTTAAAAAAGTAGATCACTTAATGGGTTGCAACAGTTACCAGAAATGATAAGAGGTCTTTATATTTCCAGCATATCAAAGTATGCAATATAGTAGGATGGACGATCAGCTGAATATGAGCCAGCAGTGTGCCCAGGTGGCCAAGAAGGCCAATGGCATCCTGGCTTGTATCAGGAATGCTGTGGTGAGCAGGACTAGGGAAGTCATCCTGCCCCTGTACTCAGCATTGGTGAGGTCTCACCTTGAGTTCTGTGTTCAATTTTGGGCACATCAGTATAGAAAGGACATTGAAGTGCTGGAGCAGGTCCAAAGAAGGGCAACAAGGCTTGTGAAGGCCTTGGAGAACATGCCATACAAAGAGCAACTGAAGGAACTGGGGCTGTTTAGTTTGGGGAAAAGGAGGCTGAGGGGAGACCTTATTGCTCTCTTCCAATATCTGAAAGGTGCTTACAGCGAGAGCGGGGTTGGTCTCTTCTCACTGGTGACAGGTGACAGGAAGAGGCAAATGACCTTAAGTTGCACCGGGGTAGGTTTAGGTTGGATATCAGGAAAAACTTCACAGAAAGAGTTGTTCGGCACTGGAATAGACTCCCCAGGGAGGTGGTTGAGTCACCATCCCTACATGTGTTTTAAAAACTGTTTGGATGTGGTGCTTAGGAACATGATTTAGCAGTGGGTTATTAGTTATGGTAGTATGGTTAAGTTGTGGTTGGACTTGATGGTCTTTAAGGTCTTCTCCAACCTGAGCAATTCTCAATTCTGAGCAAGTCTCAATTCTCATGATTCTATGGCATATGCCAATTCAACTGATGGTCAGGTTCTACTATAGGCTGCCTGATCAAGGGGAGCCTGCTAATGAGGCCTTCTTGCTTTTTCAGCTACAAGAAGTATTGTGCTTGCCAGCTCTCATCCTGATAGGGGATTTCAACCACCCAGATGTCTGCGGGATGCAGTATGTAACTCCAGCTCCAAGAGGTGGTGAATGGTTTTTGTTTTCACTGTGCCTTTGTTCTAGCAGCATCCAAAAATTCAGCTGCAGAGGTTCTCTTAAACCCTTCTGTTTCTTCACTTATCTGCTATTAGTTGTGGTCAGTGAGACACCATTGTGTTTCTGCATTCTCCTATTTATTTATTTTTTTTTAATCAAAAGGAAGATCTCTCCTGCCCCTAGTCTTCCCTTTCCATGCATGCTTGTTGTGTATAAGCTATGTATACATCCTTGGGCATTGTAGTGTTTAGATTTGTAGTATTTAGTGATTCCCACAGAGAATGATCTGGGACTTGGTGGTATGCATGTATTCTGAGATTTACTACAGGTGATCTGGATTGTTAGGATAAATGGATTGTAATTATTAGTATCTCCTGAGATGCATGAGTATCCTATCCGTGGCTGGTGAGCTGGACTCTTTAGGTTCCCTTCAGCTGAAGTGCCTTGCCATGAAAACCACACACTCTAGTTCTGTACTAAGCCTGCTGCAGAACTGAGTGTTCACAGATGGCTTTATAATTCAACTTCCAATTAAAAAGTACAAATGGGCTACACCATAGGCCTCCATGTCAGTGCTGCTTGGGAAGATTTTAAAGCAACTTGAATGCTTTTGAAGCACAAAGCTGAACCACATGAAGAAGGAGAGATCGAGGGAGGCAAATATTGAATAGTTCCTCTGTGCCTACATGTTTCATGTTATGTAGAGCCTTGATCCTTTCACATCCTTAAGTTTGATGTTTCAGATTTGTTTTTACATAGTAATTTTTGGTGTGGAAAAGAGCAAACCTTAGACTTATATAAAGAGTTATTTGAGTTGGAACTGTTATGTGATTAGACTTGCAGGGCTTGGATTTTTATTCTGAAGATGAAAGCAGCAGATGTTGGTGAGTGAGTAAATTGCAGTTGGTTGGCAGCAAGATTCAAAAAATAAATTCGACAATGATTTAACTGTCATAGAACTGCTGCTTTTTACTAGAATTTCTTCTATAAGTGCTGTTAAACACATGGGTGCTTAAACATACCTGTAGTACAGTAAGCCCACCACTGAGCCACAATCCTATTGCATTGCAGGCTCAGCTGAGCCCAAGTACCCTGTCCATCAAGCAGAGCTCCATGTCCATAGTCCCTCTCTTCGAGGTAAGGAGAGCTTAAGATACAGTTTCACACATCAAGTTTCATGTGCTTTATATTTTTACTGTCCCTATAAATAGGAGGGTTTGAAAAAAATGTGCAATGTGTGCATCTGTAATGAGGGGAAGGAGGATATTATTCTACCTGTGGCTCTGGGAGGGCTCAGGCTAGGACTTGCATTACATTCCCTGGAAAATGTGGTACAGTAAGAAGGACACAGATGACATCGCTCTGAGGTTAACTGTTGAACTCTGGATTAGTAGGTAGACAACAGATGAATGGGAGTGGATTTAGTTGGTGGGTTTTGTTGGAAAGACCTCCCTCTGGAGCCAGAGTGATGATTGCAAGCCCTCGCAGTTAGGCTCTTGCTCTGAATCTGCCTCCAAGAAGGCATCTGCCTCTTGCCAAGGGAGAGTAACTGGCCAAGCCAGGGACTCAGTGGTGAACTGTATGAATGCCATCCAGCCTGGTGCTGATATGATGCTGTTTGGCAGCCTCTGCAATGTGTCAAACTTAGCACAACAAGCAAGTGGAGGAAGTTCAGGTGTAGGTGAATTCCACAGTTCGCCTCATTACAAATAGCTACCCCATGGCTGCAAGTATTGACAAAGGAGCAGGCAGAGAACAGACTGAGACTGTCAGTCCTTCTGTACAGCATTTGCACTGAGCCTCTTCCATGCTAATGTGAATAATGTCTCTGCATTGTGCAGTATCTCTGTCATTGCTTCCTTTTTTTTATTTTGAAGTACATTTTCATGAGAGCAATGGCAGGTGTATTTAAAATTAGTAAAACTCTTCTGAAAGTTGTTTAAAATACAATTAACGTGCTCAGTGTGAAATGACAGCATAGCATTAGCTGTGTGATTGCAATGGAGTTGAGAAGTACAGTGTTGACTCCTGCTGTAACTCTCACTCAGGTGTGTCATTATTTGTTAAATACTGTCAACATGAAAAGAACAAAACCAGGCCCTGAGTGAGCCAGTCCTTGCACTGAGGAACACAGCCCCTTTTTTGCATGCCTTCATTTATAGGTTCAGTTGTATAGTCAACAAATAAAAAACATTACTACTTGTGCTTGTATTATTAATGTATCGCTATTCTTGTGAGTGCTGCAAATGCATGGTGCCTGTGTGATGTCCATGAATGACTTCATAGAGGCGTCTGGGAGATGGAGAAGGGCCTAAAGCAATGAGGTAAAGGTAAATGGAGGGGAAAGAAAACTGTTGATATTCTCAGAAAAGAAAAGTTGTGAGGCTGAATTCTCAAAGAAAATCTGTATAGGCTCCTTCCTTCTACAGTGCTATTTCTGCTGAGAAATAATATAGCAGAAGAGAATCACATCAGTGTCTTCTTTGTTGTGTTTCTTGACTGTTTCTGTTTGTTTCTGAGATTTTCTTTGTTTTGAAATTCCCACGCAGGAGTCAAACCAGTCTTTAAGGGCCCTTACAGGAGTAAATCCCTTCTTTTGGATGTGCGTTCTATGAAGGGCAGCCTGAACAATGGAAGACAGAGTGAAGATTGACTCCAGGCACCATGATATAGGCAAATTGTCATCTGCTGGTACATAGCTTCTTTTAACCAGCAGCAGCACTCTGACTATAGTGGGAAAAGTGGAGGTCTGCCAGCATGACTGAAATGAATGCAGAAGCCTTGAGCAAAGTGGTGGGGCTACAAAGTAATTTGGGAGGAAGCTTGGTGATGGGAGAAGCTCTTTGAGGGCAGAGAGATTTGGGTACAGTTCTATATCTAAGCCACATTACAGGCTGAGCTGGAAAGAATCACACACAGGATGGTGGCAGGTCACTACAGCTGTACAGGACAACCAATACAGTCACTTCATTTAAGCTCTGCCCTTTACCTGGAAAAAAAAAGGCAGCTTTTAATACTTAAGCCCTCATCTGGAGCGGAGTCCAGCGTTAGCTGGTCTGGAGCTCTGCAGAGTTTCTAGTTTGCAGGAATGGCATGGGAGGGAGGTAAGTCCCTGTTGAGGGGCTCTGCAGCCCATGCCACAGGACAAAATTCATTGCTGATTTCTTCTAAAACAGTTCTGTCTTAAGTTCAAAGCAGAAAAGGCAAATTTAAGTCCCAAAGCAACATTCATGAAAAATCCTTTCATCTCCAGTAGAAAATTCTGGCAAAGAGTTCTCAGTATTTTCCACGACATTTCTTTTTTCCCCTCAGACAAGGAATGAATAGACATGAAGTAGCACCTTCATGATTTACAGACTTGTGTGCTCTGAGCAAAAATATTTCCACATCTTTATGAAAAAAACCAGAGCTGCTGCTCACCTATCTCACCTATCTCCTTGAAAGCACTACTTATTGCAGAGGATCTCTTCAGCTCTGCACTTTTTTTTTTTTTTTTTTGCACTTCTTAGCCCCTAGGGAGCTGCACTGAATGCTGCAGGTCCTCACCTTCAGAGAGCAGATTCTCTCTGGTCTTGACAGAAAATGGATTTCCCTCACTTCCAGGAGACGTAAAGCAACTGTAAGGAGAAGATTTGTTTTCCTTTCCACCCACAGGAAAAAAAAAAACAAAAAAACAATTGCACAAAACCACGAGCAGCATTGCTTTCATGCTTGTCCTTGTGCCTATTGCAAGGCAAAAAAAAAAGGAAAACAGATAAAGGCAAGAAGGTTTTCATGATTCCACACAGCTCAGTTCTATGTTCCAGAGAAAAAATTGAAATTCATGTGTTTCTGTGTGGAACCTGACCACAGCTGCAGGGCACAGCTGGGCTAGCATGAAGGGCAGAGATATGCAGAGTAGGCAGCTCAGGTCTTGTGCTAAGGTGATCTCAGTATGAACTGTCAAGGCAGAAAATCAAGAATTTATGTCATTTCCGTACTGCCATTGTCCTTCACTTCTCCATACTCCCACTCTCACTGCTGTTATCTCAGCTTTTCTCTGCAGAACCAGAGGCTGCCACCCACCACCAAATCCAGCCTCCCTCAGTTCATCACTCACAGAATCATTAAGATTGGAAAATATCTTTAAGATCATCTAGTCCAGCTGTCTACCTCCCACCAACGTTGTCTACTAACCATGTCACCGAGTGTCATGTCCCCTCTTTTTCTGAACACTGCCAGGGACAGTGACTCAACCACCCCACTACACTCTCAGGTGGTGTAGAGAGCAATACATTCTCCCCTAAGTCTCCTCCAGAACTCCCCTCCTTGACTGTATGGGAAGCAGCTAAAGGCTGAGCAATCAAAGTGGCCACTTGTTAAAGTTTTATGGGACTTAATCATTAAACAGAATAAGGGAAATCAAGATAATCAAGAAAATAAGAGGCCTATCCACTGTCACTTCCTGGTATTATTTTCTGAGGAAATGTGAAAAAGCCCTTGAAAAATCTGGGGAAAAAAAAATGTGATAAACCATATTTGCCAAGCAGCTTTGATAAAAGTTTGTTTAGGCACTTTTCTCCCCAGTCATCCCAACTCATGGGCATACATAAGATTTTGCCACCTGCAAAGGAATGCCACTGTAATTTTATTTTTCACAGCTGCCAGAGCTATGGGCCATCCCATCAGCTGTGGCAGAAGTCCAACCTCCCAAAGAGTTTTGTCAGGCTTCCTGATGGTGTTTCCACTTCTCCCAGAGGCAGCTTGGGCCACTGCTTTCTTCCCTTGAAAATGAGCGCTCTTGCCAAAATGAAAATGACAGGGTGCTATAATTATATTCTCTTTTTTTCTTGGTGCATGAAATCAACATTCAAGATGTTGGCTTGATATTATTTCTAGCTGGTGTGCAAGCAGAACCTCCAGTACTGCAAGCTGCGAAACAGATTTTTAAATACCCATTCCTCAATTAGGCCTTATTTACACTAGAAACATATGTAACTCTATGTAGTACATTCAAGCTGTTCACACATAGAAGGCTCTTCCACTATCTCAAAATAATGATAGAGCCCTGATGATAATCCCCACTCCACGCAGCCCATTCCTTACATAGGAGGCCCTAGCATGGAAAGATTGCTCAGAGCTCTTTTGGGCCCTGTGTGGGGCCCAGGGGAACTCAGTCATCACCCTGGTGGGATTTAGGTCTTGTGCCCTCTTCCAGGGCTGACCTGCAAATCAAAATGCCACATTTCTCCAAGTGAGGTTATTCAACAGCCATCTACAAGCAAGTAATAGCTCAAAGCTTTCTAGTTGACATGAATGCTGCATCTAAAACTTTCCAAATTCACATCAGATTTAAGAATTTAGCTAGTGTATATACATACATACTTTTTCAGATGAAGTTGGAGCATGAAGTGTTCAACTAGCCTGAGGGAAATGCAGAATATGTAGCTGTATGAATTAAAAATAAAGACTGTGCTCTGGAGCAGGTGCAGCAGTTCTGGAGTGGCAATCAACCTGCGAGAGAAAAGAAAGACCTTTGAAATAGATGGGACTCTATAAAAATCCAATTTATCTAATCCATCAGCAAGCTATTTATTTTGCTCCAGTAGATGACAAGCTGACAAAGCTTGTTTAAAGGAACGTTTTCAATTTGCTAAACAAATTATGAAAGGAAGCTTGCAAATGGCTGATTTCATTTGCAGTGACATAAATCCCAAGCAGATTTTTCAGTGATGTTACAAACTATATAAAGCGATTTATGGGTTTCCTTGGCATAAGTTTTCTGCCTTTCTCCCTGAAATAAGCCAAGTTAAAAAGACAGAAAAGTAGGGCAGCATTAAAAAAATGATTAAAATGAAATGTTGCAGAGGGGGAGTATTCGAGAAATAGAAATACTAGATGCTGGAAAATTACAAAGGAATAATGGTTTGTGGTTGAGGTACAAGAAGAGACTACAAGAATCTATATTCATTCTTCTCCATTGGAGTCTTTCAAAGCAGCCTTAGTCAGAGCTCTGAGATTCACTGTGATGTTGTTGTCCACAAGGGTAAGATGACTTCCTTCCCTTCCTATTGGGCTACAAAGACTTTAAAACACCCACAGAGACAATCAGAGCCATGCCATTGCCATAGAGAAATCCCAGGAAAGATCAAAAACTAAACTACTGACAGCATTCTTTCACCCAAGTTGGGTACTGTCTACTTCATCTTCTGCATCTTTACAGGGCTTCCCAAACTTGCTTTGCCCCTGGGACAGCCTCTGTCAGTGTCGTCAGCAGCTAACCCAGTTTCTATGCTTCACAGAAAGTTTTCATCTCCCTCAGCCTGCTTATATAGGAGAGGCACTGCAACCCTCTACTCACCCTTATAGCTGTCCTCTGGACATGTTCCAAAATCTCCACATCTTTCCTCTTCTGGGTGCTCCAAACATTCATGTAATATTCCAAAATTCCAAAACCATTTAGAATTAATTCTAACAAAGCAGAATGTTGCAAGTTATTCAGTAATACGCAATCTGTAATTGTATGCATTAGATTACATGAGAGAAACAAGACAAATTCACGAAAGTAACAAATGCAAGCAAGGAGTTAGCTCAAGCAACTCAGCTACAAAGGAGAAAAGTCAAAAGTAATTTGTATTGAATAGCAGTCAAACTGTGACATAAATGTAATTCCTATATTAAAGATAAAAAAGTGTATTACATGCAAGATTTTATGCTCATCAGCTGTTTTCCTCAGTTTTATTTTAGTAGCAAAGTCAGTGATGTTCCTTCATTATTTGTCAGTTAGGGGAAGACTATTACCACTTTTTTCCAGCTCTTAAAACTTTGTGCCACTGCACAGCAGGGGATTAACAAATGCTGTGATTAGGGCATTAAAAAAAAAATTAAAAAAAAAAAATCAAAGCAGAAGCAGGCTTCCTTAAATGTGGTTCCAAAGGAAACAGGAATGAAGGTTAGATACATTCCCACATTTTCTCACTATGCATAGAAATTTCTGGATTTTGAAGACCTTGTTGGGACATAACAAGACATAAGTCACAAGAACAGGAAAACCATTTCTGGAAAGATATAATTCTATCCTCTACAGTATGAACCAAAGATCAGAGTTATGTAAGCTGATATTAGGACAAAAATGCTGTAACATTAAAAGCACTGACATCATATTTAAATACGTAATATTTATATTTAAATAATTTAACAATTATATATTTAATACAAAATATTTAATAATTCAAGGTAACTCAATACTTTAACATTCATAATTAAATTTGAATTCTTGAAGCATATGCATTCCACAGTGTTGCTGTGCCAAATGGCAGTACGCACAGGTAAGTATATCTAGGTTTTGTGTTTTGGAACCTACTAACATTAAACTTGCATGCTCCCTCTTGCCCAGGACTGCTTTGTGTTCATTATAAAAACAGTAGCTTAGATCCAGAATATAAGAAACAGCAAAACAAAGTGTTCTTTTCTTAGCATCTCTCCCTGCACTCCTAACTAACAATTAAAGCATTTGCTGTTGGAAGTTGTGTTCATAGATCCGTGTGGTAATAATTAATGAATCTCAACCATTTCCTCTCTAAACCTACTTGTGTGTCCCATGTACACATTTACCTAGTTCTCAGTGCTATAGCATATCAGCATCTCAGAAATATCCCCAGTTGCAGCTCAGACAGCTCATGCCTATGTGGGTTAGTTTTGCTGGTACTCTCTCCAGCCCAGCATGGATCTATAAAATGCCTCAGCAGAAAAGAAAGAAAGAGGGGATACAGAAGCCATGGGATTTACTAGGAAATTGTCAAAATGCTTCCTGCTAATGATTTTCAGCTAAAATGATTTGATGCTTTATTCAAAACAGCCTTCGCTATAAGAAGGAAGTAATATTAAGAAAACAAAATTGAAAGGACATTGAAATACACACAACATACTTCATTTTAGTCAAATGAATCAAATTGCTTAGGTTGTTCTCATCTGTGAGGATAAGATTTATTTTGGCTTAACTAAAGCCATAAGTCTCCAAGAGTAAAGGAGGACACTGACTGCAGTTCCTACTGTTCACCTGTGCACCTCAGCACCTGCCTCTGTACTCCTAGTTCTCTCTGACTTGGTACCACTTCTAAAACTCCTCAGAAAAGTTCAGTCTTTGTCTTTCAGCCCTTTGGATCTCAATACCTTCCTGCAGTCCCCACCTTCACCTTGACTCCTACCATATAGTTCAGCACCTTTTTAGCAGGTTCCCACATCCATCCCTTTTGGGTAACAGGCAATTGAAACATGTCAAGCATCCTCAGACCAACAGCTGATATCTATGCAAGTTGAGAGCACAACAAAAGCTTTATTTTAGCAAGTGTATTTACACAAAACTTTTTTTTTTTTTTTTTTTTTTTTTAAGTATACATACAATGGTTTCTGTGCACATACCTCATCAGAGCAAGGTCAACAGCTCTTGAACCTGCCTGGGACTTAGCACATTGCATTCTCTATGGTGCAGCATTATTTTTCAGTGGAGACCTTTGTTTGAATTTTAAAAAAGAGAATCTAGACAGGAAAACTATTGGTCCTAATTCAATTTTAAGAAAATGCAAGTAGAAACTGAGGGGTCTGGATCACAAGTCCTATGAGGAGTCTGGAGAAGAGGAGGCTCAGGGGAGACCTCATTGCGCTCTACAGCTTCCTAAAGGAAGGTTGTGGTGAAGAGGGGTTTGGCCTCTTCTGCCAGGCAACAAACAGCACACGGGGAAATGGCCACAATTTGTATCAGAGGAAGTTTAGGTTGGACATGAGGAAAAACTACTTCTTTCAGAGAGTGGTCAGGCACTGGAATGGCAAGTGTTGGTGGAGGTCACCATCCCTGGCAGTGTTCAAGAAGCACCTGGACGAGGAGCTGCAAGATCTGGTTTAGAGGCTTGTGGTAGCAGTGGTAACGTGAAGATGGTTGGACTAGATGATCTTATAGAATCACAAGGTTGGAAACGACCTATGAAAACTGCCTTATTTTAATCCTTGCATAATTTAGATCTTAGAGAAAGTTATGTCAACAAGCAATTAGCAATTTAATCAGCTGTGAATTTTTTAGCATGAATTCATCAAGAGTCATACTATCATAATAAAAAGACAGGAACAAACCTTTAGTATGATGATCACATTTTTTGTCTTAAATGAGAAAGCAAGAGGTGATTGGTTACCTGACTGTACCACAATCTGGTGGTAAAGAAAAGCTGTGATGCCGTTATTGCTGTATATGCCAAAAGCCCAGACTGTGCCATTCCCATTAGAGCTGCAAAATCTTTCAATGCATGCCCAGATTCAGAGGGACAAAATCTCACCTTTTTGATTCTAAGGCAGAATAGTTTTGACACTATAGCAGCAAGTGTGAAAAACGTATAACATGCCTGGGCAATACAACTTTAGTGACCCAAACACTTCTATAAATGTCACATCTGAGTAAAGATGGGCAAGGACCACATTCCACACAACCCACATAATTGCTGTTCTTTCTAAATAGATTTTTTTCTTTGAACTATTTTAAGGTGACTCAACATGTAAGACTTGCCTTGTTGCAGAAACTATGTATGTATTTTTTAAGACTGTTCATAAGGCTCTGCTTGTTCCAGAGGCCCCTTTGTGAACAAGCCTTTGTGTTGTCTTTGTTCACTTGTCTTTATTTGGGGCAAGATTCAATAAAGCTGAAAACTAGTTATCAAGATTTTCTTTGGAAGTGCAGGCAGAATTGAGTGATAAAAATCAATTTATGCTTTCTAACAAAGCATAGCAATATATACTTGTTGACTCAGTACACTTGAGATCAGGTGTAAGTTGCTTTTTTTCCTGAAGACCTTTAACTCTATACTGTCTTTTGTTGTCAGGGGTTTGGAGATTCATGATACTTGAGATCCCTTCCAACTAAGTCCATTCTGTGATGCAGGCTGTGGGTCTTCTTGTATGAAAGAGCACTAGATCAGGTGTCAGAAGACATAGAGCAAACAATGTGAACTTTCTCTGAACCTGAGAACTTTTCTCATATGCATGTTTTCATGAGGGATACTTAGCACATTTGATCAGATACGGTACTAATACTGTACATTAAACTGGATTAAAAAATGTAATTCACTCTAATTATCTTAGCAAAATCAAGGATATCTTCATATAGTCTTTTCTAGTACAGTCTGCCAATAATAAGGAAGACAAATTCAAGTTGATGTTCTTCCTAAACTGGGAATCTAGATTATTGTTTTTAATGGCTGCAAGAGAAACATTCAACAGCACTGAACTTCATTTTCACTGCACTTCTTTTTACATTTTATTAGCTAAATAGAGAGCTACTGCCTTCAACGCTGTCAAGTCAGGTGTTCAGTAAAGACCCAGCCTGATAACTACTGATGTTCACTGGAGTCTTTCCACTGATTCAGAGGAGACAGTTATTGAAATGAAAAACAACCTCAGAAGTTTCTCTATTCCTTGGGCATTAATTACAAACAGAAAATGATGTTAGATGTGTTTCTCAAATTGTTTTGTTTATGCCTCCCTTCCAAAGGAACAAAGTCCTTCCTTGCAAGCATATTCCAGATCTGGAGTTACAAAAAGATTCCTTCCCCAAGCCCCTCAAACATTCCTCTTTTCTCCAGTTATTGAATTCCTTTGAAGTGAATTGCATAGCACAGATCACTGTTCTAGCTACTATTTATTTGCATTTTCTCCTTGACACTGGTTCCCTCTACATTTAATGTTGAATTTGAGTTCCCTTTCGTCCTCTGATATCAACGATTCCTTGCCAATTTATCTATAGAAATAGTAATAAGCAAATCAAATAGTTGAAATTAATTATTTTTACTTCACATCCTCTGTGTATCCTGATAGTAAGACAAGGTGTCAGTACCTGCTGGTTATCCCCACAATACACTGCTTGGGAAAACCCAGACTAGCAGGTGGGTTATCCTACCTACTTACAAATCAGCATTCTTCTAATGTGGATTCAAGGCCAGGCTGGATGTGGCTCTGGGCAGCCTGGTCTAGTGGTTGGTGACCCTGCACATAGCAGGGGCATTAAAACTAGATGATTATTGTGGTCCTTTTCAACCCAGCCATTCTATGATAAATTGTAAACAAATATTCAAACTATAGTAAAAAAAAAAAAACAGGAGCATCAAGATGAGGATCTCTGATTCCAAGCATCAAAGTTCAATGATACTAATATGTATATGCACGATTCCTCAGAATTTTCTACTGTAGTTCATTTCCTTGCATGCTCTATATACTCTTCAGATAAATTATTGAACTGAGTACTTCTCCTTTCTATTTTATAGGGGCCTTGATTCATTTTTTCTTCTTTCTAACTGTGCAATCATTCCTCTCCGCAGATGAGAAGAAAATTTATTATTTACAGAGAACAAATATTAATAGATCATGATAAAGTTTGGATAGAAACAGAAAGGTATTTGGTTAAGAAAACTGCCTTGTGACACACTTTTTTTTGCAGATGCTGTCACTGTTTAGCAGTTGCAGTATCAATTATATTTGATGGAAGATGATGTTTTCATTCTGCTTTGACACGAATGTAAACTGCTAGTGATTAACTAAAAGCAATAGCATCATTATTAAGTGAATATTAGTATCCTCAGAGAAAAAGAATTAGCAAAAAGAAAAAAAAGTACTACTTATAAAAGAAGTACAAAACACACAATAGAGTATTTTTATTTGTTCAAAAATAGTTACTGCTCCCCTACCCCTAACATAGGAATTTTATTAACTTAGGATTGGAACAGGTAAGAGCATAGAGGTCTGTATGCCTACCTCAGACTGATAAGACTCATAACCCTAAAGAGAGACTCCAATGAATCACAGGCACCAGAGTCACTTAAAGCAGTTTCCTTCACAGTACAAGCTGTGGGAGAAGTGAGTATCACCTCCCTCTGTACTGACATCTACTTCTATAATGCTATAATGCAATTGAAAGCATAGCAATGACAGAGTAGTAGCAAAGTCCTAGACTGCAGCAGGTGAGAGTATGCTCAAGTACAGCAGCTATGGAGGGAAAAAAAAAAAAAAAAATTCTCTTACCCATAGAAGGCCTCAGGTACACAGGGTTCTCCAGCAAGGTATCCATATCTCTGCTTCCAATGCTTAAATGAGATCTGGGAAGGGGTAGATCCTGGCTTCACCCCTTCCAGTCACTCAGGTGGATTGCATACACCTGAGCTCCTCTGGGTTGGCCCTGCCTTCCCACCAGGTGCTCAATCACTGTTTCAAGCCCTGACTTTGCATTCCTGCTACAACTTCTATGCCAGCTTTTTATAGCACACATTTAGAAAATGGCAAAAGCTGATACTTTAATCAAGTTCAGTATGATTTATTTTCAGTAAACTCCTAACAACAACGTGAAAAAGGCAGAAAAGGCAAAATCCAGTAACTTCTCAGCAAAATTGGGACAGTTTTTATATTCATTTTAGCTTAACCAGGAGTTTAACCATAACAATAACCCAAAACTATTTTGAGTGTATCTGAAATTATGTCCACAAGTCCTCAGGAAAAAGCTGCTAAAATTAAGGTTGAAGCCACTATACATTGATTACTGAGGTCGCTTACTAGATTCCATATCTGAGGCTGGCAAAGGATCTTTTATTTAAAAAAAAAAAATCCTAGGTTGTCATCTTGAGGTTCTCTGGAGGAATGCTGTACAGAAGTTCAGGAATACAAATCTTCCATGATAATTCCACAGAGCATATGTAATAGAAACAAAATTTGACCTTGTCCAGATTGTCTGCTTGGATCTCTGGACACTGAAAGCAACTTATGTCCAACATATCCAGACAGTGGCTGAGCAAAGATTAAAGCCTCATCTTTTCTAGGCTCTGTGTATCTTGAATCACGGATTCATAAAAATCACAGAATAATTCTTGGGGGGAAGGCTTCCCTGACGTTTCACCTACTCCACCCTCCTGCTCAGAGCAGGTTCTCAGGACTATGTCCAGGCTATCAGGAGCAACATTTGAAAAGTTGTGCCCACTGTTCTCATGTAATGATTCTCTGCATGTGGGTACTCTCCTTCTGTGTAAGCTGGGTTAACCTCTGTGGAAAGACTCCTGTGAACTTCAGTCAGATTTGAATTCATTCACATCCAAATTTAAGAAGATTAAACTCCAAGTAAATTCCCAGGAAAGAAATTTGCCATTGGCTCACTCTTCACTGTGAATTTGATCTTTTTATGTTTAAGACTTGTTATGGCCTGGACAACTCTGCTCAGTATTGGGCCATCTGTTTTAGAAGCCAGAAATGGGAGTGATTTGGGTAAAATTTCAAGATTCTTTCTTATTAACTACCATGCTATGTAAGTGTTCACACCTTGAGATCTCAGAACTGAGGAATTATTTCAACGTTTTTTGAGGGTGCAACACAAAACAAAAATGAAAGAAAATTACGAAAATAAGAGAGTAACTGGAGGCTTGCATATGTCAAACACACTAAGTATCTTGCATTCTACTTACTAAACAACAGCTGGAGACAAAAGGTTGTATGGTCCAGATATTTCCACACTGATCTTGAATATAAATTCATTTTTACTCATGATTATATTACACTTTAGTATTTTAACACCAATTTCGAGATGACTTATAGGTGAGGCCAATCAGAGTTCTTTTTATGGAAAATGAGGGCTAGGATATCTAAGGTGGCAGAGTAATATGCCAAGCAGGATTCACACAGACTACCTGGGTATGGCCTCAAGACAGCATTGCTGATGCCGATTGATGTAGACTCCAAGCTTCACATCAGCATTTCAAGTCTGGACCAATAAAGCTTAACTTGTGTGACTACTCCATGTGTATACACCAGCAGTCATTCATCACCATATAGAATAGGTATTGCTCAGGATCTTCTTCCTGATGCTACTGTTGCTGTTCCATGACAAGCAGTTAAGCTCTAAGCAGGAAATTGCACTGCATGACCTACAGAGGTCCCTACTAATGTAAATTACTCTGCAATTCTGCAAATTGACAAGTAGCACTTTGAGACTCTTTTCCCTGTTACAGAAGAAGCCTTCTTTCTGTAAGTCAGCATTGCAATGGCTGATGATTCAAGGATTTTGAAGGCCTATTTAAGGTCAAACTCCTCCTGAAGTTCTCTCAAGCTTTCATTTCTGATCCAGCATCCAGATCTATGTAAGGTCCCATGACCCTTTAAGAAAGCAGCAACACTGAAATTCTTAGAACAGCTACATGCAAAAAAAATTTAAAAAATAAAAAATAGTAATAATAATAAAAGAAATTAGTGGAAGCATGCACTTTACAAGTATTCCTGGCTGACTTATTCCTGGCCAGCTGACATTGCGATATCTACTTTTAGTCATGTTTCTCTCTAGGTCATTTCCTTCCTTTGTAAATCATAGGGATAATTAAATATCTAAGATCTGGTTCAGTAAGATGCAGCAGGAAGAGAGATATCTAGACTAGACATCTAGACTAGACAGTGAGTCATACCTATCATTCCTTACCCATGCAAAATGGTACAGTTTGAACAAGAAGGTTTGAGGAACTGCACCCCAGATTATCTCACAGCTGTATTATTCAACAGTACATTGGAGATGTGAGTCTAACACCATGCAAACAGAAAAGAGAATAGCACAGCTCTTCCTATGGGGTGAGCCCTCTAACAAGTGGTTAAGGCGATAAACGCAAGAGGAGCCCAACCATGACACTGCTTTCATTCTCCAGATATCAGTGATGGTCACACTCTGACAACCCCAGAAGGGCAGAAGGAGTGAGGAGGGGATTGGCCTCCCAGGCAAGAGAAATTTGTGGGGCCTCAGTGCTATGAGGGAGAACCTGAGGAGCATGTCAGAGGGAGAACCGATGCCCAGGAACATGAAGTACTTTGAAGGTTGTAATGATGAAGAGTCGGGGGGTAGCTATATCCATCTGTGAAGTCAGTATCCTGGTTTGGAAGGAGCTCTGTTTTTTGTATAGATCATGTTTTTCATATAAATCAGCTGATCAATAAACAGAATATTAGCATTAAAATACACGCATAGCATATAAGTCTTCTGGGGAGAAAAGAATTATCTGTCTCATAGTCTTTAAAACTTGTGCAATTCTAGCTGAATCATATTTAAAATCCATTAATCATTTAATTGCATGTTTGTCTTTTAAATTGATGCATATTTTCCAACACCTTGTCATGTAATACTTTTTTATATTTTTGATATAAGAAAAAAACCCTTAAGTACTAAAAGCAACTATTTCAGAGAGTGAAAGAGAAAGAAAGGCAAAGTAGAAACAGCTCATCACTTCTCTGCTTGAATAGGAAAGTAGTTCAATCTGATTATCATTTTATCTGAAAGTGTTGGATACTTCTGGTTAATGTGAACCCCAGAAACCCTGTTTGTTACACTTCAGTCTGGCAAACAGAAGCCTTTCTGTTCTCTTCCTTCAAAAAGACTTAGTTCAGAATTAACAAGCTAATAAAATACGTAGCTATGCATTTTTATAAGAATCTGTGAAGGGTCACATCACCACGTTGTCATAGTAATGAGAAGTACAGATGTCAAATCCAAACCAGAATGTGGTACATACGATGGTTTGATTTTGAGAAAGATTTTACTATAGCAGTGTTCAGGGGCCTTGGATGTACTTTCTTCCAACAGATTACTTAGATTTCAGTGGCCAGAAACACAGTACAGACACTCACCGCACCCCTCGGGCTGCTGGTTTCAGTGGTCAGTGAACACAGCCTTTGGGCAGGTACTGATGTGAGACAAGTGCTTTGGTTTTCTCTTTGCACTGTGACAAATTCCTCCTACGGACCAAGGCCTTACAGCTGCTTGAAGTGGACATAAACTTAAGAGGGACTGATTTTGGATGACTTTGCTTGATGTTCAGTAAGTGGGATGGTATTCTTGATGAATCTTGCTGCCATCTGAGGGATATTTTTTAGCACTACCACTGTCTCTCTCATATATCCACTACAATCTGTCTATTCCATTCCACTGGTCTGAGCAGAGTGAAGCCAAAGCCAATGTTGAGATAAGGAAATACCACAATGTCTAATGACATTATATTTTATACCCCTTTCTTATTTATTATACACCAGGAGAAAGGAGGTTGCCTTCTCAACACTGAAATCAGCCTCTGTTCTTCCCTCCCTCTCCCAGTGATACTGAAACTAAGCTGGATGTAGCCTCAAAATTCTGCTCAACTTTAAACAGAAGTGCTGATCTGAGCAGGAAATTGGATCAAATAACTTCCAGGATAATAATCCTTTCCAACGGAAGTTACAATTTTTGTTTTTGTGTTACAAATTAGAGATACAAAGCAATGTTGCAGCAAGAGAACAGAAGTTTCTCCTATGCTATGTAATCGCCTAATAAATTTCCCGCTTTGCTTTTTTCTTCAGATTTAGTGGCATTTTAAATCCTTCTTTTTTTTTCATGAAGAACAGACTTCCCAGAAATGTCAGTGCATTTAACTTTAAATGTTTCAGCTTATCTTCTCTTCTTTAGGAGAGGAGATTGTTGCTCAGACAGAGACAACTTCAGTCAGCAACATAGGGATTTCTGCTACAGATAAAAGTCACAGACTTATTTGTGGGACCACTAGTCTAAGGTAATTTAGTTCATACAGTTCATGATGAGCAGTGAATTAATGATGTTTGGGACCAACTTGCCATAAAGATCTACCTACTTTATTTTCCCAGTGGGATTCACTCTGCTACGAGGCCAAAACCTGGGGACAGCTCCAAGATCAGCAGCAAATACCTCTGCACAGTACACTGTACAGTATTTCAGTTGAGGATATCTGACTTCCCGACTTCCTCAATCCCTGCCCAGATATGCCACATCCTCAGCACTCAGCATCAACTGAAACGTCTCATACCTCTGATGTCAACTGTGGTCATCATGAACCCCCTCAAACTCTGCAGTACTTTTCCTGACACTTGGACATTATTTTACATAATAAAAAAGAATAATATTATATATTACCTTTTTTATAAAAAAAGAGCAGTTGGAAAACTCTTACACCAGACTGTATGAATGCAGCACATATTTTGTATTAGCCTATGCTGCTGTAAAAAGCCTGAGCTTTCCCAGAAGCCCATGGAGATTTCTGCAGGGACAGTCTGAATCCAGCCAGCTTGGAGA